ACACCGATAACTACCCGTACTCGTGTCAGTCATGCGGCAAAAGCTTCAAACGAAGAGACGTTCTCACGCGTCACCACCAGAAATGCCCCAGCAACAAAAGTCCTCGCGACTCGTGGCCGGCGTTGAATCAGAAACCAAAGACGCGTCGAGAAGCGTGCGACCAGTGCGCCCGGCTGAAGCGAGGTTGTAACTCGGAGCGGCCGTGCAAGTCCTGTGCTTCGAGGAAGTCGACGTGTACGTACTCACGGCTGAACGAGCAGTCGTCGGACATGTCTAGCTCAGAGACACAGCCAGACACTGACAGCGCGCCACCGAAGATGGCCATGGAAGCGCCAAAAAGCTCGGTCACCCTCGTCGAAGAGGTCGGACAACAAAGACCAATGGACACTCACCAGGTGTATCTTCAACATCGAGAGTCTGCTTTCTTCCCGTCCGTGGACGGACTCGGTGACCAGAGCCACTCCGCTGATCGAGCTCGTGATCTAGCATACTCCACAGATGGCAGTGACCTGGAGGACGACCCTGCGGATTCCTTTGATTTTCTTGCCCGCTTCACAACCAATGACTCTGGAATGAGCGACGCCTTTGACGTGGACAGTACCCTCGTGGCACAGGATCCTTCTTCAGTCGGGGAAGACTCGTGGGAAGGTCTGTCTGACCGATCTTCATACCCTGTCAACGAGTCACGAAGCATTCTCTTCGAGCAGCACTCGAAGACAGCAAGAGAGCAGACTCGACAGATCAACCTCGGCTCTCTTGGTATGGAAGAATTCCAATATGTCACGGGTACCCTCGAGATGGAAGTGAACCAAGAAGAATTCTGTGTGTCGCCACCATTCGAGATGGACGTGTCGAATCCCAGCCCTGTAGGACCGCCATCGGGTTCCTGGCACCGGAAACCGTCCTACTGTAGCGAGTCCATCTCTTCTGGGACCCTGAGCAGTGCACTGGCGTTGAAAAGCCATGAGATTGTCGTTGCCATCAAAGCCACAGCCCGGCTTCGTGGCTCGGCTGCTGCGACGTCGGCCATGGGTGACTGGTCCTCGCTCAAGGAAAGTGCCTGCATCCATTTCTTCCAACCGAGCAATCTTCAACGCTATCTGGAGTATTACTGGGTCCTGTGGTACCCGAACTGGCCAACCATCCATAAACCGTCTTTCAATGCTGCGACGTGCCCCTGTCGACTCCTCGCGCCCATGGCCGTGATCGGTGCGTCTTTATCACCGCGTCGCTCGGATCGCGAAAACGCCAAAGTTTGGTTCGACATGGTGGAGGAAATGGTGTTCGCGGATGAGGCAACTTTCCCCCCAGGGACGTCGGTGGCGATGCCATCCTGCCCTCCGGACCAGCTCGAGGCCAGACTGCACTCTCTCCAAGCCGCGTATGCTGTGTGCCTCTTCCAAACCTGGGAGGGTCGAGATACAACAGCAAAAGAGCGAATCCGCAGACTACGCTTTGGTTCGTTGGTTTCAACGGCCCGCTGTCTCATGAGACACGCCAATCACGGTCAACTCGGGACGTACAGATTCCAGGACTTTTCGTGGCAGACGTTCGTGCTCCGTGAACAACTGATCCGCACCGTCATGTACGTGTTTCTCCTCGACACGGCATTCACGATCTTCAACAATCTGCCCCCGAGGATGATCATCCGCGAGATGACAAACGACCTGGCCTGTCCGGAGCCTTGTTTCCAGGCGGCCACCGCCCAAGAGTGCTTCGATCAGATCCGGCAGTGGACCGCTCGCCCACGCCATCCCGCATGCACCTCGCTGTACGCCGCGATCCGATGCTTTCGGCAGAGGACCATCGACCCGGCCACCCAGCGCGCCCTCGCCGAGACCGGCGTCCTCAACCTGTGGACGATCGTCTCCGCCTTCCACAATTACATTTTCCACATCGATCCAGGCTTTGGGTCCGTATCCCAAGTCGAGGCCATGGAGAACGCCATCGCAAACTGGCGAGTCGTATGGAAACTCGGCCTGACGTTGGATGGCTCGCGAGGCTCTCGCAAATCCGCCACCACCACCATCTCCACCGACTCGAACCAGACAGCAGGGTCCGGATTGGACTCAACCGAGTCCTGGAAGCGGACGGGCTTCATGCGAAAGGCCCCAGAGTATTGGCTGCTGGCACAGGTCAAACTAAAGAGGCTATCGTCGGCCCAGAGAAGCCTCGAAGCCGCCGAAAGTCTGTCGGGCATCAATAGCTGGCTTTGCAACGTTCCTGGAACGATCCTGCCGAGATACGACGAGACGAGCATGGAGCAGCTCAGCGACTTTATCAGTAGCTTTGGGGCCATGAGGGTGTGAATTGAAGGCGGGGGAAAGGGGTCGTCTATAGAGAGCGAGAGCGAGAGCGGGAGAGAGAGAGAGCAACCAAAGCTTCTACTGCTAGGGCTAATTACAGGAGACTATTCATCACTTCATACCACCCAACCCCCATCATGTCACTACCAGAGTTACAAAGGAACGAGCTACCTGGGGGATCATCATCATCTTTTTGATCTTGACTGAATTTTGGCGTACAAATGTCTTTCCTATAGTGAAACAGTCGACCTGATCCGCTCCCATCTACAGCTTGGCCGCTCGCGGATTCCCCCGAGACATTTTGTCTCTGAGAACGCGTCTGAGGATCTTGCCGGACGCCGACTTGGGGATCTCGTTGATGAAGTCGATCTCGGCGATCCATTTGTGCCGCGCTTTCCGCTCTTGGACGTACTTGATCAAGCGTCCCCTGAGGGCGTCGAGATCCTCCTCCCCCTGCTGCTCCCTCTTCTGTGTGGCCCGGTGCTTCGCGACAATGAATGCCTTGGGATGCTCGCCGGAGAGCTCGTCCTTGACGCCCAGCACGGCCACGTCCTCGACCTCGTCGTGGCCCAGGAGGAGGTCTTCGAGCTCAGCGGGCGCCACGCCGATGCCGTTGACCTTGATCATCTCCTTCAGACGGTCCGTGATGCTCACCATGCCCTCGTCGTCGATACTCCCGATATCCCCCGTGTGGAGGAAGCCTTCTCGGTCAAAGGTTTCTTCCGTGGCCTTTTTGTTGTTCAGGTAGCCCATTACGATCTGCGGCCCGCGCGCCCAGATCTCGCCGGGCTCGTTGACGCCGCATTCCCTGCCGGTCTGCGGATCGACGAACTTGACCTCGGTCGACGGCACGATCGCCCCGACCCGCGTTGCGTACCGGAAATCATACATGTCGGGCGGGTGCAGCGTGATGCACGAGCACGACTCGGTCATGCCGTACCCTTGCTTGAATCCTATGTTGGGGAAGTATTGTTGGATCAAGGCGAGGATCTCGGCGGACAAGGGCGCCGCGCCGGACATGAGTCGTCGTAGCGAACTGAGGTTGTACCGCCGAAGGAGCGCCGGGTCGCGTACCATGCGGATCAAGATGGGAGGCACAAGCAGGACTTCCTCGAGCTGGTAGTCCTGGATGCTCTGGAGTGTGTCCTCCATCGTGAAGCTCGGGAGGAGATAGACCTCGGCGTTCAGAAAGACGGGGAGGTGGAGGTGGTGCACGAGGCCCGTGATGTGGAAAAGGGGCAGGACCGTGAGAATCCGCCGGAGAGAGTCTGGGGTCATCCGTCCCACCTGCAGACATTGGGCGATGATGTTGGAGTGGCCCACCATGACGGCTTTGGGGAGGCCTGTCGTGCCGCTGGAGAAGGACAGGAACGCGCAGACGTCCCTGTTTTGTTTGTTCGGGGGTATTCTATACGCCTCGACCTGGCTGGTGCCGTATGACCTGCCGATCTCGAGCAACTCGGCCAGCGTGGTGAAGTTCTCCGCTGCCCCGTAGATCAGGAAGACGTGCTCCCGCGGGATCCCGACGCTCCTCGCCGCCGCCACCGCGACCGGGAGATTCGGAGGCGCGGTGAAGAGGAACTTGGCCTCGGCCGTTTTCAGCGCAAAGGCCAACTCCTCGGCGTTGTAGGCCGGGGACGCGCCAGAGACTATCCCGCCCGCGCGCAGGGTGCCGAACATGACGCAGGGATACCACACCGTGTTGGGCGTGAGGATCCCCACGGTCTGGCCCGCCCGCAGACCGTACCGCCTCACCAGCGCCGTCGAGAGGTGCGTCGTGTGCACCTTGAGCTCGTCGTAGCCGAGGCGCTCTTTTGTGATTGCGTTTGTGAATCCGCCCAGTTTCTCGCCGTGCTGCTGTCGCTGCAATGGGCTGTATTCCGAGTCGAACAGCCACGTCCATACCGGGAGGTTGGTGGGGACCTCGATCGGAGGGAGCGAGGATTTGAAGATTGGCATGGCTGGAGCGACCTGACCTGACCTGACTAGAGTAATGTGTGTGTTGTCTTGTCTTGTCCTGTACGGTGAAGTCTGGTCTCGAAACCCTAGAAATCTAGGACAGACAGCGAGTGTAAGAGGCGGATAGACAGATGGACGAAAGGAACACACACTACTGGCACTGTCTGGAACTTTATGACCACCTCGCCCGTCCCGGCATGGGATATAGTCTTTTCCAAATCGACCTCCCCAAGCATATGGAGCAGGGACCAAGTCTCTCGGGGAAAAAAGAGGGAGGTTTCAATTCGCTACTTTCTTGCACCACCGGCGGGACGTGCTGTAACTAAAACTCACCAAATCCCCTCGTATTCACAAGGTATTTCCGACTGCCTCCCCCCTAATCCCGAAATGCCCAGGTGTGGGGTGGAGGTGTCAGGTATTAGTGGATATCTTTGCCGAGTAGATCTGTCGTTTGTCCTTGGGACAAGGATTCCTGATGCTGGAGGGAGGGGTGGTAGAGAAGTATTGTTGGAGAATGTTTAGATGTGGTTGGTGAAGATTGTCCAGGCTTGTGATATGTTGTTTGTCCACAAGATACAAGATGTAAAAAATTACGATGAGGATGTATGTGTCAATGACCAGGCCTAAGAAGGTGTCCCCGTTGCTGTGGAAAGGCTGAGCAGGTGTAGATAAATATAGCTATAGCAAGTGATTCAGGGATATAGAGATCGCTGTCCTGTCCTGTCCCCCCCCCCCTCACAGTCTGCTCAGATTCAAACCCACGCCCGACCGTTTAATCTCCTCTCGAATAGCCAAATCCGACAAGATCTCGTCACTCCCCCCTCCCACCACCAACGGCCTGAGGTCCCGACTGATCTGCTCGATGCGCGCCCCCCTCCCTGTCTTGTTGTATCCCGCCCCGCCGAGCACTTGCTGCGCTTCGCGGTTCACCCGCTCCAGAACCCGCCCGGCCAGGACTTTCAGGTTCGCCAGCTGCCCGCCCAAACGTGCGTCCTGGGCCGCGGCCTTGTCCATCGTGTGCAGCAGGTACGTCAGCTCCTCCATGTGCGCGTGCGCCGAGTTGAGCAGTCTGCCGAACGTGGAGAACTTCCACCGGATCACGGGGCTCTCGATCAGTTTGTGGCCGAACGTTTCGCGGATGATGGCGTGTTGGAAGGCGTCTTCGGCGCAGACGCGTGCGAGGCGGAGGCTCGCGCAGGCGAGCCAAAGGCGTTCGTGGTTGAAATCTATTGCGTGGCCAGGAGATTTTAGTGGTTGACTACGCCTCACTTGGGACTTGAACTCGTTTTCCGAGAGGCAGCCTGTGGGATACGTACTGGACATGATCATGGGAAACCCTTGGTTCTCTGCACCCAGCAGATTCTCCACGGGCACTTCGACGTCGTCAAAGTCGATATATGTCGATCCTGTCCCGCCCCGCGCCCCAGTTTGTGGTTAGTTGGAACAGTCCAGCCGTCGTGCTCAGCCTCCAACAACGCTTTGCTGAAAGGGGACTGAGAGTGTCAGACACTCACCACTGGCTGATACTCCCGAGTTCTCCATCCGACGACATGTGACGCCTTTGTTCTTCATGGGAACGATCAGCACCGAGATGCCGTTGGCACCGGGGCCGCCGGTCCGCACAGCAGTGGTGCAGTAGTCCGCCCACAAGCCATTGGTGATCCATTTTTTGGCACCGTTGACGACATAGACGTCGCCGTTTCGCGTCGCGGTTGTCTGGATATTTGCGACATCCGATCCAGCTAAAGACACAGTGGTTGCTTAGTTTGACCCGTGACAGCTGATACACAGGACACTTTCGGGTTGGGGGTTGGATTCCACCTACCATCAGGCTCGGTGACGGCGAGGGCGAAGCGTATATCTCCTCTCAAGATGCCCGGCAGAAACTGTCGCTTCTGTCGTTCTGTCCCATAGTTGACGAGCGGTGGTGCGCCGTAGATATTTCCCCCGGTCAAGCCCCAAACAACGCCCAGGTAGCCGCACCGCATGATCTCGTCGATGCAGATCAAGTCGTGAAAGGCGTCCCATTTGTCCAGCGGGATATCTCCAGGCAAGCGGATTCCTTTGGCGTATTCTTTGTCCAAAGGGAAGACCGACACTGCCGTATATCCAAGGTCTGAATGTTTCCTGATGACCTGCAGAGGACGTGGATTGTGAGTCCCGTAATGGTTTCCACACCACCTTCATTTAATAAATCTTGGTAAGGGATACAGCAAGTTTCAACTCACCTCTGCAGGAACGTGGCCTTGTTTCTCCCACTGCTCGCAATGCGGAGTGATGTGGTCATCCACGTATTGACGAACGTCTTTTCTCAGCTGTCTATGGCTCTCGTTGTAATAGGGCGAGACGCCCCGAGAGTACCACAAGGGGTCGGCATAGGGGAACGACGAGCCAAAGGTCTCTGCTGCCATCGAGTTGCAGTCGTCGTGTATGTGTCTTGCTTGTTAGCCTTGTGCAAACAGCTCGCAAGATATATGGACAAGGATCGAGGGATCGGTTCTGAGCTGGAGAGCATAAAACTTTGGTCCACGCCGGTGTCTAGCTCCAAGGGGGTTTCTAGGGATTGCGAAGAAACAACAATCACAGACAAGTCTTTGCAGCGCGGCCCATACTCGAAAGCCGTCACCGAGGCCTGATCTACCAAAGTCTGACATAACGAGGCCAACTGCGCGCGGGGGTGACGGTGTGGAGGAGTCGGCGTTCGAGCGACACGGAATCATCAATCGGGAATGGGTGATCGGAATTGCAAGACTAAGTGATTACTAGGCGTAACACTGGCAAGTACTTGGCTGTGAGGCAAGATCGGCATTCATTCTCCATGTAACACGGACCCCTCCCTGGGGTTGTTCTTGTGGTTGCGTCCCAGCGCTTGGCTCGACTTGTATACGGGGGTCTTCAGCGTTGGCAATGATTGTATGGCCACTCATGTCCCTGTGTATATTTGCATACCCCTCCTGCTCGCCCTGTCTCGGACTGCGTGGCCAACATTGGCTAACATAGGAGAGTCAATGGGTAATGGAGAGAGAGAGAAAGAAGATGGGGTGGTTTACAAAATGTCGATGATCATAAATTGATAGGGCTATTCTGTATCTACAACTTGCTTTTACGACCCTGGCCATCATTATCTGTGGTCGACTGCCGCCCTTGGTACACCCCGTACCAGTCTACTTTCTTCTTTCCCGCCCGGAATGCCTTGGTGCCGATCTGGGCTTCCTCACTTGGCGCAATCATCCACTCGAACACGTCTTTGATGACTTTGTCTTGACGCTCGTCTCCTGTGTATCGCCACGCCGCGGCGACCAGCTCCTTGGTCCGAGCTGATGCTTGCGGAGCGGCGTGGCGGAGGTATTTGTCGAGATAGTGTTGTAGTAATCGATCCAGGTTGGGTTGGGATCCGTCCACGACGGCTGTGGAGGAGGACGGAGACGAGGAGGAGCTGGTTATAGCATGGATGACTCCGACACGATGCAGCTCTTGCACCGTGACTGTTCGACCGGTCAACATAGCCTCGCGGGCAATGCCTACGCCCCACTCGCGCACGACAAACTTGGAAATGGTGGCAGGGCACAGGCCCAGCTTGACCTCGGTCATGGTAAATGTCGCATTGGCCTGGGCTAGGCGAATGTCACAGACAAAAGCGAGGCCTGTGCCGCCGCCATAAGAGGGTCCGTTGATCAGTGCGATGGTCGTTTGAGGCGTCCTGTCGATGGCCTCGAATAGTTTGTAGAGCCCGTCGAACTGAGCCTGTTTCGAAGCAGCGTCTGCTCCAGCGGCTGTGGCACCACCGCCGCTGAGGTCCATGCCGGTGCAGAAGTACTTGCCTTTACCTGTCAGCACAATGTGGAACACCGAGGGGTCCTTGGACAGCGTCTCGAACAGCGTCGTCAGGTGGGTGAGCATTGTCCTGGTAAGAGCGTTGCCATTGCGCGGTCGATCCAACACAATCTTGACCGTTGATCCGTTTCGGAGCAGCTGATACTCCGGATCTTTTTTGACCATGGTCCATGTCATCGTAGGTTGACATCCAGGGCTGTTTGTGGCTGGCACGGTGTTGCGTTTCGAATAGATTGCCGCACCTGCCCGGCTGCCATCTGGTTTCCCCAGCTTCTCGTTGATCCAGTGACCAATCTCGGCCAGCTTCTGTAAGTCCACGCCCGTCGCAATCCCCATCCCCTCCAGAGTGTAGACGAGGTCTTCGGTGGCAAGATTCCCCTTCGCCCCTGGACTGTACGGACATCCTCCTAGGCCGCCCACGCTGCTGTCGAACGTGCGCACGCCGAGTTCGTAGGCCGTGACGGCATTGGCCACTGCTTGGCCGTAGGTGTCATGGAAATGGCCCGCCAGGCGATGCGCAGGGATGTATTTCAGAAGTACATCGAGCAGACGCCGGACGTGGGCCGAAGTCCCAGACCCTGTGGTGTCGCCGAGACTGACCTCGTAGCAGCCCATGCTCAGAAGGGCTTGTGCCGCGGTCAAGACGTCGTGTGGATTTGTCGGGCCTTCAAATGGGCAAGAAAAGACGCAGGAGACATACCTTTACCGCCAAGATCAATTGTCAGTACTCAATACCAGAATGATGCCATTTCTGGACTTCTTTCTGTGTATTTTGCGACCAAGGAATGTTCTTTACTTACCCTCGCACATGGATGCCCAACTCCCGGGCCTTCTGCGTCACTTCCCTGGCCCGCTCCAGACCCTCCTTGACGCTGCAGTTGCTGTTCCTACGACTGAACGCTTCAGTTGGGGAGACGAAGACTCCTACTTCCCGTGCGCCCGCATCGGCCGCGGCTAGCAATCCTCTGAGATTGGGAACCAGGACAGAATACCGCACCGAGGGGGTGCCCGCGGCGTCTTGCATCTCCCGTACCGCGTGCATAACGGCGTCGTGGTCGGCGAGCTGGGGGATCCATCGCTGCGGCGCGAACGAAGTCGCTTCTATACACGGCAGACCCGTCGTCGAGAGTCTTTTGATGAGCTCGATTTTGATTTCCGTCGGCACGATCTCCTCGATCGCTTGCAGCCCGTCTCGGGGACCGACTTCGACGATGCGTACGGCTGGACGGTCCATCATATTGTTCTTCTTGCCCATGCTGGATAAAGTACAGATAATTGTGTTGGTGCGGTTCTGGACCAAACCGCCGTGGCCAATGCGCGCGCGCTCAAAATGTAGATTTCCGCGAATCCATTGCCGTATTATGTAGGATGATCGGATTTGTCCAAAGCCGAGCCACATCTGCTAAGGACCGAGCTTTCCAGATCCTAAATTTATCCGGCGAACCTCCTCGAGATTGGATTCTGATACACATGGATCGTGAGCATCTCACAAGCCCAGAATTCTCAAGTCATTTATATCGCCACTTTGGCACCAACGAAGACCGGCGGTATGAAGGTCGTTGTAGGTATTTTGGTATACAAGCGATGTATATCGTTGCGAATGCCCAGGACTACGACCCGTCGAAGTACGTGCCTGTACCTATAGCCATAGGCTCTAAATAGCAGAGATAACACTCATAGACAGCAACTGAGAGATAACCCCCTCCCGTGTTCTCAACAACATTTAGAGCCATGCTGGTCAAAAACATCCGGACATGCCTCTTCATATCTCTATATCCTTGCCAGATTCATCGACCCTGGATTGGCCGTGATCGGGGTATTCTTCACCACCTCCAGACACATTCCCAGGACGTCTCTCGTGTCTCGCGGGTCGATGATGCCGTCGTCGTGCAGGTACGATGAGTATCTGTACGCGGTCGAATCGCGGTCCACCCGGGCCTTGAGCTCCTCCGTCTGCGCGGACAGGTCCGCCTCGTTGACCGGTCGGGACGACCGCTCGGCAGAGGTCCGCGTGATGCTCTCCATGACGCCGGACAGTTGTTCGGGCCCCATGGCCGAGCAGCGGCTGTTGGGCCACGCGAACAGGAATCGTGGCTTGAAGGCCCGTCCACACATGGCGTAGTTGCCGGCCCCGTAGGACGCGCCGACGAGGACGCTGATGTGCGGAACGAGGCTGGTGCTGATGGCACTCACGAACTTGGCGCCTTTCTTGATCAGGCCTGCCCGCTCAGCTTTCAAGCCTACCATGAACCCCGTCACGTTGTGGAGGAAGATTATGGGGACTTTCCTGCAAATGATCACAACAAGGGTCAGTTGTGAAAACGGGGAAGTGAAAGGGCTTTGTTCAACAGACTTCTCACATTTGATTGCATAAATGGACGAACTGTGTCGATTTGTCCGACTCGTCCGGACTGATGATCGGTCGCTGGTTGGCGATGATTCCCGTCAAATGTCCTAGTAAGAGCGCCCAGCATCGTGGCAAGATTAGCTAAATGGTAGAAGGTATAGGAAGGGGACTGTGGACCTTAAAATTAATGGCTCTGGGGAAACTGCCCAATACAAATACATACCGTGGATATACGCCCAGGCTGTTATCATCGCCTTGCCCCATAACGGTTTGAAAGACTCCAGCCTCGCATCGTCGACGATCCGTAGGAGGACTTCCATCATGTCCAGCGGCTGGCGAATGTCGGGATTCACGATCCCATACAACTCGTCGGGATCATAGAGCGGCGGCCGTGGAGGCACCTCAGGTTGACCGTATCGACCGACGAGTCTCGCTGCCGTGGTCGTGAGGACCCATTCTCTGGCTTTGCGGATTGCATCAAATCTACACCAACGTGGTGGCGGCTTTGTTAGTTTCCAGCCCTTGTTCGACATCGAAGGAGGTTCAACCAGATGACAGGATGTTTCATACTCATCGACAGCCAACTGATCCGCCAGCCCTGTGACCGTGGCATGCATTTCGGCGCCTCCGAGGTCCTCTGCATCCACCGTCTCCCCTGTCGCCATTTTGACCAACGGCGGCCCACCGAGGAAGACATTGGCCTGACCCTTGACAAATATTGTGTAGTCGGACAGTGCGGGATGATAGGCTCCCCCGGCCGTCGAGCCTCCAAACACTACCGCGCACGACTGGTGGCCTTTTCTGGTGCGGACCGAGAGGTCTCGAAATAGCTTTCCTCCATACGGAAAGACGTGGAATTGAAGGGGCAGATAGATGCCCGCCTACATGTGAATAGATGGAGGAATCAGCGCACGCTCAGATTAACTGGTCTGGATCTTTCATGTCAACTTACCGAGTGGACCAGCGCGACGATGGGAAGGTTGTTCTTCGTGGCGACGTTTGTGGCCCGATTCTGTTTTTGAACTGGCAGACATCGTGAGTCAGGGATGAAAGACTGGAAGAAAGGACTTATGTTTGGTATGCTCACCGGTGAAATAGTTCCACGCACCACCTTTCAAAGACGGGATATGAGCTATTATCATCGTCGGAACATTGCTACACTCGTTACATCAGCACTGTCCTGTGCGCTTCAGGTAACAACTAAATGGCTGGATGTTCGTACTTGATCAG